TCATTTTACTTGAGACATGTTTTTTGTAAATACATAATTTGTTGCTCTTGATCTTATCTAGGAGACTTTGTCTTTCAACAAGAAGATTAAACCACATGTATTGAGATAAATGATGCATTTGATTTGCTTTCATCATCATTCTTTCACTGCCTTTTTCATTGATTTCACGATGCCCAATGACATTGATGAGGAGAAAGCAATGAATAAAATGACCTGACCCAACATGAGGGGGCTTATTTCTGGTGGAAGAGACAAATGCATTCCTTGCTATTCCTTTTCCTTCCCTCTCACTTACTATATGGAACAGATAGATTCAGCTGTTTTTAGTCATTCTAATAATTTAGAAATAAGCTTAATAGGTTTTCCAATGAGGAATTTCATTTTGTATGTGTGCACGTATATTATACATATGCACACGACACATATTGAAACCTATTTTCTCAATTTTAGAGTCAAACTCTATATAGTCAGTCTACTCATCTTTAGTGTAATGTAAGTCTAGCCTACCTTTTACTGTCTCACATTTTCTAGTTTTATTGATATGTTCTATGAGTTTAGAGAGATTATTAATAAGTTATGATTACATTGCCAAGTTTTTGTGTGTATTTTTGTTGTTGTTGTTGTTGTTGAGATTTCTTTTGGAATTCATCATTCTCCTTTTAGAAAATTTGCTTATAAATTGCCTGGGAAACATACTTAAATGGTACAATTGTTGTGTTTTTGCTTATCCTTTAATGTGCACCTGAGCCTCTAGGTGTGAATATTAGCTTGGCGCAATAGAAATGCTACCTTATGCCATTTAGTGTTGTACAGAATCAATGTGGTGTCAATACATTTATTTCTTTTGCGGGTACTATATTTTCACGTTTTATTTCTGGGATCTGGGTTTTTTTCTCTATCCCTGAAACACAGAAGTTTCCCTAGTGATGGCTAGGTATGGGCTTATTTGTTTACCCTTCTGGAATTTTTGTTACATGTATTTTGAATCCTGACACTGTGTTACATATGTCTTTCCTTTTTCCTTTTTGGAGACAGGATCTCATTCTGTCATCCAGGCTGGAGTGCAGAGGTGCCATCACGGCTCACTGAAGCCTCAGCCTCCTGGGCTCAGGTGATCCTCCCACTTCAGTCTCCTGCCTAGCTGTGACTACAGGCACACACCACCACGCCCAGCTAATTTTTATACTTTTTTGTAGAGATGGGGTTTTGCCATGTTGCCCAGGCTGGTCTCGAGCTCCTGGGCTCAAGTGATCCTCTTGTCTCAGCCTCTCAATGTGTTGGGATTACAGGTGTGAGCCACTGTGCCTGCCTGTCTTCTCCTTTTCAACTTTCCCCGCTGCATTCAGGGAAAATTTGGTTAACTCCTCTTACTCTTTGCTTTAATTTTCTGCAATATTCATTGTGATATATATATATGTATGTATATATATGTGTATATATATCACATGTATGAAATGAAATATATAAACACATGGAATATATATATTCCTTCATGTACAAACTTTATGGCTAGTTTCACAGAAGTATTTGCACAGTTGAATCTTATTACAAATATGAAAAGGAGAGTGTTCAGAAAGTTTCCCTGGTTTCTTGGCAGTAAATCTCTTTGTAAAATTTCTCCTGATTTTTCAGACTGGTCTCTTTTACATGTATTTCCTGTTTCTAGTCATAAGCTCAATGGTTTTCTGCTGTATGCCTTAGAGAGGTTCACCCCTTATTCAGCAATGCAAGATGAGGAGGGTACAGTCAGGAAATTTATCAATTGTATTTGAAAATGCTCCAAAAAAAAAAAAAAGTAAAGGAGATATTGGATTTATTCTAATTTTACTTTGTCAGATTCTAGGTGCTATGGTCTGTGAGGCCTAGGCTGGCAAATATGCTGGACACCACAAGCTTCCTTTCAGTACTGGTTGCAGTGGCACAAACATATCCCCTACTCACTACCTGGCTTAGCTGTTCCCATGAAGAGTGAGCTTGGGGCAGAGCCTCCACTGTGTGCTGAGCAAGGCTGAGCACCAACAGCTGGGCTGTGCGCTATGAGCACCTGATGCTTGACATTTTCAAAGGGGCTCTGTTGCAGGTTGAATTGTGTCTCCCCCGGATATGTTGAAGTCTTAACCCCCAGTCCCTGTGGATGTGATCTTATTTGGAAATACAATCTTTGCAGATGCAATCAAGTTAAGATGAGGTCACTAAGGTAGGCCCTAATCCAATATGCCTGGTGTCCTGATAAAAAGGGAAAACTTTGGACAGAAACATGCACAGAGAGGACAACAGCATATGAGGACACAGACCCGGAGGGAAGGTGACCATGTGAGGACAGGGACAGAAGAAATTGGAGTTCCGCTGCCACACACCAAGGAAGGCCTGGGGCTCCAGAAGCTGGAAGATGCAATGAAGGATTCTACCTTACAGGATTCAGAGGGAGCATGGCCCTGCCAACACCTTGATTTTGGACCTCCATCCTCTAGAACAGAACTCCAAAAACTTCTGTTGTATTAAGCCGCCCATTTTGTGTTACAGACATTCCTCAAGGATATTGCAGGTTCAGTTCCAGAACACCACAATAAAACAAATATCACAACAGATGAGTCATATGAATTTTTTGATTTCTCAGTGAGTCTAAAAGTTGTGTTTGTACTATACGGTAGTCTATTAAGTGTGAAATAGAATTATGTCTGAGAAAAGTCATACTTTAAAAAATGGTTTATTGATAAAAAATGCTAAAGATTATCTGACCTTCAATCAGTCGTAATCTTTTTGCTGGTGGAGGGTCTTGACTCAAGATTGATGGCTGCTGACTGCTCAGGGCGGTGGTTGCTGAAGGCTGGGGTGGCTGTGGCTATTTCTTAAGCTGAGACAACAATAAAGTTGCTGTATTGATTGACTCTTCCTTTCACAAAAGATTTTTCTAGCATGCAATGCTATTTGATAACATTTTACCCTCTGAACTGCTTTCAAAATTGGAGTCAATCCTCCCAGATACTGCTGCTGCTTTATCAACTGAGTTTATGTAATATTCTAAATCCTTTGTCGTCATTTTCACAACGCTCATGTCATCTTCACCAGGAAGAGACTCCACCTCAAAAAAAACAAAAAAAACCCAAAAAAACAAAACACTTTCTCTGCTCATTCATAAGAAGGAACTCCTCATCTGTTCAACTTTGATCATGAATTTGTAGCAATTCAGTCACATCTTCAGGTTCCATTTCTGACTGTAGTTCTCTTGCTATTTCCACCACATCTGCAGTTATTTCCTCTGCTGAAGTGTTGAACCTCTTAAAGTCAGCCGTGAAGGTTGGAATTAACTTCTACCAAACTCCTGTTAATGTTGATATTTTAACCTCTTCCCATGATTCATGAATGTTCTTAATGATATGTAGAATGATGAATTCTTTCCAGCAGTTGTCAACTTACTTTGCTCAGATCCATCAGAGGAATTACTGTCTGTGGGAACTGGCCTTACAAAATGTATTTCTTAAATAATGAAACTTGAAAGTCAAAATTACTCCTTCAGCCATGGTCTGCAGAATGGCTGCTGTGGTCAGCAGGCAGGAAAATTCCATTCATCTCCGTGTCCATCTCCATTAGAGCTCTTGGCTGTCTAGGTGTAATGTCAATGAGCAGTAATATTTTGAAAGGAATCTGTTTTTCTGAGCACTAGATCTCAACAGTGGACTTAAAATATTCAGTAAAGCATGTTGCAAACATACCTATGTTATCAGGCTTTGTTGTTGCATTTATAGACACAGGGAAGGTACATTTAGCATAATACTTATGGGCCCTAGAATTTTTAGAATGGTCAGTAAGCTTTGGCTTCAACTCAAAGTCACCAACGGCATTAGCTCCTAAAAAGTCAGCCTGTTCTTTGAAGCTCTGAAGCCAGGCATTAACTTCTCCTCTCTAGCTATGAAAGTCCAACAGATGACTGTTTTGTCTACATGGAAAATCTGTTATTTAGTGTAACACCTTCATCCATGAGCTTAGCTAGATCTTCTAGACAACTTGCTGCAGCTTCTACATGAGCACTTGCTGCTTTACCTTTGACCTTAATGTTATGGAGAGGGCTTCTTTCCTTAAACCTCAGGAATCAACCTCTGCTAGCTTCCAGCTTCTTTTCTGCAGCTTCCTCACCTCTGGCAGCCTTCATAGAATTGAAGAGAGTTAGGGCCTTGCTCAGGATTAGGCTTTGGCTTCAAATGTGTCTAGTTTGATCTTGTATGTAGACCACTGAAACTTCTTCCCTATCAGCAATAAGGCTGTTTCACGTTTTATTATTCATGTGTTCACTGGAACAGTACTTTATATTTCCTTCAAGTACTTTTGCTTTGCCTTTACAACTCTCTAGCTGTTTGGCACATGAGGAATGGCTTTTGGCCTATCTTGGTTTTCAACATATCATCCTCAGTAAGCTTAATCATCCCTAGCTTTTGATTTCAAGTAAGAGATGCATGACTCCTCCCTTCATGTCAACACTTAAAGGCCAGTGTAGGGCTATTAAGTGGCCTAATTGTAGTATTATTGTGTCTCAGGGATTAGGGAGTCCTGAAGAGAGGGAGAGAGAAGGTGAATGTCTAGTCCATGGAGCAGTCAAAGCATGCACATTTATTGATCAAGTTTTCTGTCTTATATGGGTGCAGTTCGTAGGGACCCCAAACAATGACAATAGTCACATGAAAGATCACTGATGACAGATCACTATCATAGACATGATAATAATGAAAACATCTGGGATATTGTGAGAATAACCAAAATGTTACACAGAGACACGAAGTGAACACACACTGTTGGATAAATGATACAACTGACATGCTTGTCGCAGTGTTGCCACAAGCCTTCAATTTATAAAAAGCATAACATCTGCAAAGTACAATAAAATGAGGAAGCCCTGTACTTTTTGATGCCAGCCCTAGCAACGGATCATGCTGTTATCGTTAAGATTTGTTCTCTCACACAGCCACTACATGCACTTCCCTATCTTCCAGCAATGTCTACTCTGGGTTAGGGTTGTTTGTGGGCTTTGACTACTACACTCCTAATTATTTTTCCTTCCCATCCGGTGAACAGCATACTCTTTATATGTGCACTGCCCTGGTTTCCAGCAAGAATACAGATTTTTGCCCTATTCTTCTCCTATCGTTGTTCATTTCAATCAGGAGTTAACACCTGTGTTCAAGCCTCTTAAGAGCAGGTGGCAATAGCCTAGTTTCCTTCCTGAGATGTGGCTAGAAGGTAGTGTTGCTGTGCTGGAACTCTTAAACCAAGAGATGTTGCTGCCAACTCACCCTGTAGTACAAGAATAGTTGATTCTGGATCCAACCTGGATGTCTGTGATCACGTGCACCATGCCATTCACTGGATCTGGAGGAGTTTTACATGATTTACCTATTGGAAAGAAAGTATTTTGGAGCCAGGTAGAGTAATCAGGACTCTCTTCAGTAAGTAAGGTCTCCATCAACATGTAGCTTGCTGAAGAAAATACGCAGTTCTGATGGTTCCACAGATTTTGCTACCTTGAGAAAACTCATCAGAGCACCTCAGGATCAGCCACCTACTAAGCCCCACTTTGAAAAAGACCTTCCCTCCAGATCTATCTAGATCTAGATTTAGATCTGTGTAGAGACCTTGCATCCCTTATCAGAATGTAGAAGTCACTTATGGCATTATTTACTGCTAATATATTTCAAAGTTTGCAAAGGATTTCTTCCCACCTAGTTATTCCAACAGAATTTGTCTTCCTACCATTTTTTCCCCTGATCTAGAGTCATGTATTATTTTCTTTCCTATAGGGAATGAAGATTTTCTCTACAAATATTCCTTGAAACATTCTCATAAAGTGAGCATTTCAAGCAATAATCAAGGATGTCCTACAAGAAAAACTTACATCCACCTATCTGAACACTTTTGAAAAAAGGTTTCTCATATCCCACATTTGAAAACATTCAATAAGAAGCTTTTGCAGACATGGGAAAGATCCAAAATGCAAGTTCACTCACGTTTACAGGCATCTTTGGGACTTGACCACTCCAGGTTATCCAGACATGTGATAGAGAACGGCCTCCCGTAGTACTCAGGACGGCATTCGTACTTTAAAGATGTCCCAATGGGAAAGTCAGATGCATTGGTTTGGATTTTCAACTTAGCAAACGGAAAATGATCCGGGGCTTTACAGTGACCTAGAGAACAAGAAATCAAGAATATCTGAGTTAATAAAAATATACCCAATGTGCTTCCTCTTTTCTCTTCTGGGGTAGATTGATGCCAGAAGAAGAAAAGAAACTCTTAGTTATAAAACAAAAAACAAAAAACAACAAAACACACACACACACACACACACACACACACACACACACATAACTTCCCTGTAAAATGGAAGGGAAAGTTCCATTAGCATAGGCTTATAAGGAAGTATATTACCTGGAAGACTAGTCTGTTATCGGGTCTTTCTACTCAAATAATTTAGTTAATTTTATTTTATTTTATTTTTTTATTTTTAGTATAATTGGAGTTTCACCATGTTGGCATTCTGATCTGGAACTCTTGACCTCAAGTGATCTGTACTGGGATTACAGGTGTGAGCCACTGCGGCCAGCCTATTTTCATTGTTTTTGAGATAGGGTCTCACTCTGTCACCCAGGCTGGAGTGCAGTGGCACAGTCTCAGCTCACGGCAACCTCTGCCTCCCAGGCTTAAGTGATCCTCCCATCTCAGCCTCCCGAATAGCTGGAAACACAGGCAATTGCCACCATGCTCAGCTAATGCTCATATAAATTAATGTAAAGATAGCTCTGATTTAATTTTTCACATTTTTAGGACTCCAGAAAGAGTGTTTCTGCCCAGCTTCCACCTTTCGTGTCTAGTTTCCTTGTACTTCAAGGCATCAAAACTCCAATGAGAGACTGACAAGCATGGGCAGGAACTCAAGACATTTCCTGGCAGCAGGAGCCACCGATCTTCTAGGTCAGATTTCTAAGCCAAACATTTCAGTGAGGAGATACACAGGCATTTGTTTTTAATTCATATGATTCTAATGAAGGACTTTCCCACCACTCACAACCTCCCTGTTTTTTCATCAGTCCCTCCAGCTGCAAAGGTCATCAGGATCTGATGTATTGACCTACCTTAGAACCATTTATCATTGGTTTGGCATTCCATTGTGGCAAATGCACACAGAGAAACCATACTGTAATTATGGAAATATGGAGGGCCTGCGTTAGATATTCTGAACCCATTTGGGATGTGGGGAAATGAGCACTAACCCAGAATTCCACAGCGAGGGGCAGGGCTGCTCCAAACCCCATTCCCTTGAGGGTCACTTGTGCAGCGGATGGTGCTCTCCCCAATGAGGTCGAAGGTCATCCCTCTGTCTGGGTGGGGGTCACATGTGTAAGTCACAGCTTTTCCAAAGGGAAAGACTTTCAGAGGTTTTCCTGTGTGTCTCCCATTAGGAATAACTGGAGGACTTGGACAAAAGATTTCTGGAAAAAAGGCAAAAGCTCTAAGTTTCATTCAGGAATTTCCCCAGAGGTATTCTGCAATTACAGGGTGCTATGATTGTTGTTGCTGAAAATATGCTAAGGAGGTGACAGTAGACATTAGGACTTCGAAGAGTTGGATTAAATGAGATGTCAATGAAAGTGTATTGGAAAGTACAAAAGAGATTTTTCTATCCTGAATCTTCCAGATAGTAACGGTTCCTGGACAATAGAAACGTTACAACTTTAATGAAGTAGCAAAACATCTGAAGAAGAAAAATAACCATTTTGATGGGTTTCTCATTCATTTAGTCAATATTTATTAATTGAGCACTTGTCCTGTGTCAGCCACTCATCAGGATCCTGGGGATGCAGTGCTGAGGAAGGAGCCTACGTTCTTGGGAAATATTTCTCAAATGCATATATGTGTGCTAATAATCTTAAATAGGTGAAACCTTCCACTGATTACTTATTGATACTGATCATCAATCTCTGTGATAACAATAGCCCTATCACAGTGAATTGAAACGTAGTCAGGCCATTATAAAAAACTCCAAATGGATTCAGATTGCTTTGCTTCTGAAAATGGCTGTGTCTGTTGATGATTAATTTTCTCTTTTTACGTTCTGGGTCAGGTTTCAAGTTGTTACTCCTTTCTAGCATCTACTGATTTGTTTAGAACAGTCTCTCCCTCATTTCTAATTGGCGTTTTTCCTTAGAACTGGAATTTGGAAGAAGCTACTTTAACTAGCAAGAATTATGAAAAATAAGAGAAATCTTGAGTAGTCAATCAATGAGTTTTAATGCATAGTAGTAGAACAGACATTTATCATGCTGCTTCAAGGAGCACTGGATTACTTAGACAGCAAGAATCTCTGTATAAGTTTTGTTCTTACAAAATTTTCCTCTAAAAAGCACTGTAAGATGTCCAAGTATATTTCTAACAACATAAACATTTTAGTAAAATTTCATGGTCTTCTAAAGAAACATGTTTTCCAATTGTTAGAATCAAGAAATGAAGCAAAGTTCTATCTTCCATTAGGGAAATTACAAATAGTTAGACTAGGAGAAATCAGTAGTCTACTGATTATTGAACATATGGGGCTCTCTTTTTCAAAAATCGACTTATTATTTATGAATCTCTCAGCATAAATGACTTAGGTACATGTTTTGAGAAATTAAGGAGTCTCCAACTGCTCGCCCTGTCTAATGTTGCATCCCACTTTTCCCTCATTCCTCAGTGCTTTGCTCTATTATCTTCATAGCATTGAATTTATTTTTTTTCTTGTCCCTCTCCCCACCTGAGGAGAAACTACAATGCGGCACAGGGAATTCCGTTCGTCTTGTTCAATTGATAAAACTTCGCAGTGGGCTAGATGAAACAGGCACAAAGTAAACGTGATCCAATAAATATGATTAAATAAAAGGCATGTTTAATATTTGTGTATTATCAAATACATACAAAAATTGTAGACTGACTGCACCTGATGGAAGAAAACAAAATGAAGAAAAGAAAGAAGGGAGGAAAGGAAGGAAGAGAAAAAAGAAAGAAGAGAAACAGAGAGGAGAGGGGGATTTTGGTTTAAAAGCTTCACGAAGCATATCTGAATTCTTCCCTTTCTTGAAACTCCCTTAGAACAGCCCAGGCACTACCAATAGGCTTTTATTGCTTGTAGAGATACACAGAATTACAGAAGGAACAGAGAAGCAGATCAGATGATTCCAAAAGACAGGGTTTGCTTGTACACAATTCCATTCCACAACCAAAACAATTATAAAAAAAGGCAATTTTTCAAATCAGAATTCGGGAAGCTAGAAAACATATGAAGGAACTGCAATTAAGGGGAAGGTCATCGGTCAAAATAACTGAAACAAGCACATGAAGGGGACGAGACTGGCCTGAAATGTTTACTCCTATTTCACTCACGTTCACACACTGGAACACTGCTATTCCAAAGGCTTTTCCATTCCAGCCAAGACACAGTAACTAGGCAGAGCCTGCCTTTTTAATTGAAATCTAAAGAGAAAAATAGGAAGTGAATAGTGACTGTTTCCGCCAAGAGGACTCTTGTTTCACAATCTAAGGCCAGCCCCCAAAATCTTCAGGATTTTTGAGGACCTGAGGCCAGCAGGTGGCAGAGTTGCACAGGCTACGTTATTCTGGAACTCACAGTCTCCAGAAGGAGGGGCAATTAATAGAAATGGGCGAGAGAGAGAGCGAGAGCGGGTCACATGATAGTCTTGCTTGAATTGAAAAAGGTGGTCGTGACATGGGCACCATCTCCTTGACCCAGGACCCAGGCTTGGAGTTTCACTGATTACTCCATGATAACCTGATAAATCACTCATTGTCATTATTAGAAACCCGGTCTTCTAATGCAATGCCTTCCTAACTCTGATGCTGGAACAGCAAGTAAAACAGCTCCCAGTTTGTAAAACAGCTACCAGCTTGGAAGAGTGGGAAATAGCTGGCGAGAGAACAGAGAGTGTCCTTTCATCTCCGTATCTGTGATGGCGTGAAGAAGGCTCACAAGGGCAGTTTAGGCTGCTGAAGAGTAAGCGTGAATATTCTAGGGGAATAAGGAAAGAAGAGAGGACTGGATTTCTGTATGCAATCGTCGAAAATTCTCAGTTTCTGTTGGGCCCTGATGCCCTTCTAACTCTTACTGGGTGCTGGCATTTGGAGGCTGCCAAGATTCTGTGGAACATTTTGGGATCAGGTGCTTTGTTGCCCATGCTGGTCAGCTCCCGTGTAGAGATGTGCACCCTGTGCATCTGTGAAGAGCACTAGATGGACATAAACAAGGTAATGACCTTGCCGGAAATAGCAGCAGCCATCAGGACCCCAGCTCAGAGCCCAAGCCCATGAATAGCCAGATGATATATGACTGAATTTTTTAAAAATGCTGATTTTTACATTTTCATTCCTATTACAAATTTTACTATAGATGGTTTAAAGAATTTACTGAAATGATTCTTCAATGATCCCAGTTATTAAGAATAAGCTTTTTGTTACTTGCAGTTTTTTTCTTGGACTCTCTAAATTACTCATATTCTTTTTGCTTGTAAAACATGATTTATTTTTCTTGAGACGGAGTTTCACTCTTGTTGTCCACGCTGGATTGCAATGGTGCCATCGTGGCTCACTGCAAATCTGCGCTCCCCAGAAGTGATCAAGTGATTCTCATGCCTCATAGCCTGGATTACAGGCCATGCCACCACGCCCAGTTACTTTTTATTTTTAAGTAGAGACGGATTTCACCATGTTGGCCAGGCTGGTCTCCAACTCCTGACTTCAGGTGATCTGCTCGCCTCAGATCACCCTCCCAAAGGTGCTGGGATTACAGCCATGACCACCGTGCCTGGCTGATATTTTCTACTTAATGTGTTACCATATATCATAACCAGTATTATACTTGCTTTGAACTTGCCAGTTAATATGTGTTCCCAGTTTCCTCTTCAACATTCCACGTTATTAGTTCCTATTATTCTTCCTTTCTTCCTATGTAATTACTTTGGAAAGTTCATCTCTCTGAATGTGGTTGTGTGTGTGTGTGGTTGTGTGTGTCTTTCTTTTTAAGCCCAACCAATCTCCCTTTTTAAACTAATTCCCAGCCCATTTCCATGTCCAGTAGGTCAGGCAAGCTCATACTCACACCTTCCTCACAACACAAAATCCACTTTTGCTCCAAGCTGGAGACTACGTGGAAATAGCACACGACCATTAGGAAGTTGGCCCAGGGATCATCACAGGATTTTACTGGAGTAATAGAAAAATAACAGAAAAAATTGGCATGTAGAGAATAAGAGCAAGCCTAAAAAATCAAAGTCAGACAGAGTCCTAGGCACCTTCACATCCTGGGGCTGCAGGGCTCCAGTCCTCCTGGGTGTACAGCCCAGAGATGCGCCCTCTCGAGGTCATAGCCGGGCTCACAGATGTAGAACACTTCCTGCCCCAGGCTGAAAGATGTCCTTGTCCCTTTGGATACGCTCACCATGCAGGACATCTGGAGTGACTGACATACTGGGGAGAGAGAAAACAAGTATTGCTAATTTCTCTCAATGTTAAACTGACCAAGGGAAATAATACAATCCTATATATAATAATAAATGTAAGATAAGCCTTTATTTATATTGAGTAACAAAACTAAATACACAGGCCAGAGAATGTCTTGCCCATCAGTATAAGAACTTGACACATTGCAGAACTGTGAGTAAAACAGAGGTATCCTCAATTCCATTGCTTTTCATCTGAATATGCAACTAACATTCTGCAAATGGACAGTTCCTTGTAGAATGCTTCCAATTACTGTTCACCCAGTACAAAATTGGAGGAATGATGGGCTTTTTTATATCTTCATACTTCCTTTCTAGAAACGCATCACAATTTGTCTTGAATTTTAGGCAAAAAGGAAGTGCCTTGCCCATGTCTTGTCTAATAGGTCCCTCCGTACCTATCACACCGTGCAACAACCAGCCGTCCATACATCTACTCTCATCTCCTGTTCAAGGCTTCTCCAGCGGCCACCTGACATAAGGTGGTAACGAACTATGGGCCTCTCTTCACACGCTACGAAGCAAGGGCTGTCTAGTCATTCATTTCAACTATGGTGAAAAGTGGCAACTGTTGAACAAAATCTAAAAGACTACTTCCACCATAATGACAGTGTATTTCAGCAACATGTGTAATAATAGCACTGGCTCTCTCTTAATATAGTATCTTGATCTTGGGAAGTCGAACACATTTGGGTCTCAACTAAATTACATAAAACTGTTATAAATGGAAAAAATAATTTCATTTGGCTTTGAGCAGACCAGTTCCCTTTTCTGGACTTCAGCTTTCCTCAGCATCTGGGGGATTGGACTAGAAGAAAACTTCTTTAAGGAGTATGTAAATATTCCTGATCTGTAAATGCCCAGTTTTCAGGCTCAACCACCACATAATTTTCCCTTGTCTAATCAATGCCTGGTGATATAATATTGAGGTGCTGTCCTGGTTAAATTTCTGTTGGCCCCCAGCCTCACACTTCTGCACTGTCTTTTGACTGCTAGCAATGGAAGCCATAAAACTACAATCATTTGTCTTCCTTGATAGCTTGGCTCTGGTTAGGTTCTGCCAGTTGGTGGCATATATACCAAATTAAAAGGCAGGATAATGGCAGAATCTGTTCTACTTCTAGAGGTGGCGCAGACAGTGGCAGTACAGATGGCTTCAGTGAGCAGTTACAGCCTCAATTCTAGCCATGCCAATGACTTTGGCTCCATGGCTCCCAAACAATGTCAGCTGCATTCTGGCAGCAGTGTGCTCCTGCAGCATTAGCAGCTTTCAGGGAGCTGCCTGCTCAGTGGAGAGGCCCTGGCCATTTCAGCATCAGTACAGGCCCTGTGCTTTAGACTGAGAAGCCACGGCCAGCCTCACTGAGATCTCTGGTAAACTCTTACCTTCGTCTTAATTGCTTTTCTGCCCTTTATACATCTTTTGTGACCTATTAGCTGTGGATATGGTTGGGCTCTGTGGTCCCCACCCAAAATCTGCCATGTCAAACTGTAAATTCCCATGTTTGGAGGAGCCTGGTGGGAAGTGGGACTGGATTATGGAAGGGTTGGTTCCCAATGGTTTTAGCAACCAATCGCCCTAGTGGCTGTCCTGTGATAGAGTTTCTCTCGGAATCATTGCTCTTTTTAAAGTGTGTACACCTCTACTTCTTCTGTCTCATCTGTCTCCTGCCAACCAATATGAAGATATGCATGCTTTCCTCTTTGGCGCTTCCACCATGTATTGTGAACTTTTCGCCCTGGGCCATCCTAGCCAATGCCTCCTGTACAGCCTAGCAGAACTCTGAGTCAATTTAAAACCTCTTTTCCTTATAAATTACCCAGTCTCAACGTAAGTTCTTTAATAGCAATGTGAGAAACAGACAAATTACACCTGCATGAAAATCCCTCACTCCTGGTGAAAGTATCGTATGAAGTAATTTTGAATTGCATGGACTGGAGTGCCCTGACTAGCAAAGCCAACACTTGGGAGTGGAGGCGGCTGCATTCCAGTTTTGTCGCAAGTTAGTATTCCTTAGAAAGTTGTCTAATATCCAATCAGACAAAGGGCCTAATCAGTAACCGTACAGAGAACTCAAACAATATTTACAAGAAAAAAAACAAACAGCTTCCATCTAAAATAGTTGGCCATACAGGATTATGAAAACCAGACATTTCCCTCAAAAGGAACGACAATGCAGACAGCCTGTATCTAGATCAACCAATTGTACAAAAAAATCTCACCTACTCTAACTTTCCAGCTTTGGTTTTCTGGACTTTATTGAGTGGCCAATTCTGACCTGGGTGTGGAGAATGGTAATCTCATTGTGGCTCATGATTCAGAGAAAATGCAAATCAAAAAACCACAATGAGATACCATCTCACACGCC